TGCGGGCGGGAAATCCGCCGCCATCTTGCGCACACGAGTTCCGACATGGGGCTGCGGCTCCTGAGCGCGGCGTTGCTGCTCGTGGGCAGCTCGCTCCTGTGCTCAGAACTCTACTCGCTGTCGGAAAAGAGCGGGCGAGGACCTGCTCGGGAACAGGCCGGCAGCCCCCGGGAGCCCGGGACCCCCCTGAGCACGGGGAAGACTGAGTCCGCTCAGAGCTGGGTGGAGTCGGTCCCAAAGGGCAGTATCTGTCCACTCCTCGGCAGACGGCCCTCGTGCCGTTCCCCACGTTTGTAGCGTTTCGTCTGGGTCCTCCCTGTGTGCCGCTCCAGCGGCCTTTAAAAATAGCCAGCAATTGTGACAGGAGGAGGCGAAGGACTAGTACACGCGGCGGTGGCCGTGCAGGTAGTAAGATGCCCATCCCTTGGGGGGGGCGTGTGAGCCCCCATTCCCCCTGAGGTTTGTCACGCCTGCGTTACGCATAGTCCATGGCAGTTCAGAGTTGAAAGTAGGCGATCTGATATTATTAAGGCTGGAAAGGTTAACTTGATTCACCAGGCCCAGATTCATTAATCACCGCCCCAGGGAGAACGTGATACCTGGCCAGAGAAACTGCACTCAGTTGACAACCATTGGGGGAAATACAATCGTTAAACGAGGGGAATGGTGTCGATTGAATCTCTGCCTGTTTGTAAATAATCAGGGCGAGTTTGTCTCCACCTGCCTTTAAGGTTGATCTTAGAATAGGGGCCTTTTACAGGTGTCTGCATGCTTTCTCGGTTTTTAAAATAAGGATTTGGAAGAGTGTTACTGTGTTAAGACTAGGAGTTAAAAAATAAACAGACAACTATAAATCAGACATTCTGCAGGGAAGGCGGAGGGAAAGGGTCAGAATGAGGGCAGGAAGAGCACAAGGGACTATGGTGATGGTGAACTGGTGGTGGGAATTCTATGGGACTACACCTGAGAAGAGAGAGAACAGTGTACAGAAATGAAAAATGATGTAAAATATAAGTAAATAAATTCTAGATAAAAAAAAAAGACTAGGAAGTAATACATATATTAGCTGTTCAGGCCATTTAATAAATAATATATCATTTTTTATTTTTAGACTGTGGAATAGCACCGCTTACGAATGTGTTGAAAGGGTCTCGGATTATAGGGGGCACAGAAGCTCAAGTTGGCTCATGGCCATGGATCGTTAGCCTGCAGATTCAGTCTGGCAACACTCTTGTTCACATATGTGGAGGTAGCATAGTAAAAGAAAGGTGGGTCCTCACAGCGGCTCACTGCATTAAAGACTCTAGGTAGGTATCCAGAATACTACTCCTATTTTATTCTCCTAGGAGTTATTTTGAAGTGATAAAGGCCCATTTCACTTCAGCCATGTTCAGTTACACCCTGTTTGTAGGTATTGAAATTTGAACAAAACACTTTTATTTTGGATTTTTTCCAACCATGTAAAAGTGTAAAACCATTTTTTGCTTATGGGCTGTTAGAAAAGCAGGTGACAAACTAGATCTGGTCTGTGGCTGACAGTTTGTTGGACTCTGTTTTAAATAATGAAACATTTCTTTTAACTTCTGAAATTATTATATTGTAACCACGTGTTTGTATTTTTTTCATTAGGCATAACTTCTTTGAAAATGAGGACTACATTTTTTATTATGTATTGCTGGCACCTAATGTAGGATTGACCTGCTTTATTGGAAACAAATGTTGAGTCTGCAAGCAATATTATTTATGGAGAAATAGGATTTATCACAAAATAAAATGAAATAAAATCATACAAAGACATAAGATAAATCCTTAAGGAAACATGGTCCCTATCATTCAGTCTCCATTAAGAATTTAACTTTTAAGAGAACAGCTATCTTGGAGAAGGCTGAAAGACTTTAAGAATTTCAGAATTCAGTTGAGGGCAACCAGCCTTCTGGCTGAGATACATAAAGTTTTAATCTGCACACTGCATTTTCAAACATACATTTTAGCTCTGTAAACTGGCCTTTTGAGAAACAGAGATTTTAAAATGGGAAATATTAAAATTAGATTTAGAAAAATGTTTCAGTTAGGAATCAGTTCTGTTCTCCCAGATGCGGTGATTTGTGACTGTTTTCTAACATATCATCTGAAAATGGCTTTCAGCTATTTTCAAATCTTAAACTGGGAGACGAAAAACCTGCTTGAAGATATTTTTTAAAACACTTCTCTCCTATTACTAAGTCCTGACATTGTGCTTTTCCTGGTTTGCTGCTTTGCTGCAGTATGGAGAACAGTGAGTTTGGAGTGGGTATACTTGCATGCTGGTCCTCCCTGCCATGTTGGAGGGCAGTAGCTTCCAGTAAGGTTCCCCAACCTACGAGAAATATCACCTTTAACAAGTAATGTGACTTGCTGTATTGTCATAGAATCTTGGAATTTAGAAAGACATTTTAAAAGTCTAGCTCCTTTAATCTGCCTCCTACGTTAATTCATACATTATTGGATATTATTATCTTATCAAATATATGATTTACAGATATTTTCTCCCATTCTGTGGCTTGCCTTTTCATTTTCTTGATGCTATTCTGAACTCTCTATTCTTTTCTTTTCCATTGGTGTAATGCCTCGCCTTACACATGGACCACACTGTTTGACTACTGTAGCTTCAAGTAAGTTTTGAAACCAGGAAACAGAGTCTCCACATCATTCCCCTCACCCCCAAGGTTATTTTGATTATTTGGGGTCACTTGACATGGTATATATGTCTTAGGACATGTTTCTCTAGTTCTGAAAAAGAAATCATTGGAACTTTTATAGGGGTTTGAATATGTATCTGAATGTAAATGTACATTGAATGTATAAATGACTTTGGGGTGTTGTCTTAAGCAATCTCTGATCCATGAACAGGGCATAAGGAGTGTCTTTCCATTTGTCTATGTCTTCTTTAATTTCTTTCATCAAGGTTTTGTAGTTTTTACAATGTGTTGGGTTTTTTTTTTCTTTTTAATCTTATGGTCTGAATATAAATTAAAGCAAATAATAGGAGCTAAGTATGTTTGGAAACGAAAATATGCCATTATTTCAAACAAGCTTAAAGCAGTGCTGTTAAAGCAAAATATGTCATGATATTTAGATTTTCATTTGATGTGGCTTTATGTTAATGAGAGACTACATTTTTTGTTATTAATCTAACATGAGAAAAACAAAAGATAGTGGGATATTAAGAATTATCTACCTAGTTAAATAGCATGTTTCTAAAAACATTTATTCTCTTTCAGTGATCCTTTGATGTGGAGAGTTGTGATCGGAACTAATAATATAGGTGGGAAACAGACACACAACAAGAAGGTGAAAGTTAAAGCCATCATTATCCATCCAGACTTCAATTTGCAATCTTACTTCAGTGATATAGCTCTTTTTCATTTAAAAAAAGCAGTGCGATATAATGACTATATCCAGCCAATTTGTCTGCCATTTGATGTCTTCCAAAACCTGAACCAAAGCACAAAGTGTTTTATAAGTGGCTGGGGAAGAACAAAAGAAGAAGGTAATTATAGTCTGAATTTTATTGATTATATCCATTATTATTTCTTGATCTCTTTATACCATGAATTTGAAAAATAGGTTCTTTATGAACTGGTGAATAGGAAATGTCTTTTTGGTCTGTGAGTAGACTTTCTTCCTTGGGGAAAAACAAAATTATCTTCCAAAACATAAATAGAATTTTTTCTGATTTTATGCCAAGACACTTGAATATTCAGATGACCTCAGAAAAAAGGATTCCAAATAATAACTGTAGTTTCTGAGACTCATGGGTAATGGAACTGCTGAACAACAGTGTTGCAAATCTTACACAGCAACCTCTGGCTCTGAGGAATCAAATTTAATGTCCTTTTTGTTCAGTAACCGGTTTCATATCAAACAAGTTGATGGCCATGGATTTTCTTTAGTGCATACAGAGGCACTTAGTGTTGACTGAGTAATGGGACGGAAAATCTTAAGACACAGCCTCTGTCTTGGGTAATAACAACAGCTACCACTTGGGAGCATTTACTATACTAAATATATTTACTTTGTCTAATACTCCCAAAATACATTTAAAGTTAAGGAGTTAATGTTGTTATTCCTACATAAGCAACATTGAACAGAGCAGGTGACAGATGTTACACAGGCTTACTGTGTAGATCATTTTACAATATCTACAAATACTGAGTTCTATATTGTACATCTGAAATAATGCTATGTCAGTTTTTTTATACCCCAATAAAAACAGAGAAACTAATATTTGTACAACACATTAACAAAATTCTGGACTTTATTTTAATATAGCCAGATCTTACATGCTGTTGATTTTATGTTCCAGGAGTCCATTTAGGACAGCATGTTCTATTTACTCTTATGCCTCCTCAGTCTTCTGTGGCATGTGGTGATTTCTTAGTGTTGTCTCTTGTTTTTTATGACATTACCAGTTTTGAGGAGTATTGGTCAGGTCTTTCTGGTAGGTCCCTCAGTTTGGGCTTACAGGTTTGGGGGAAGGCCACAGAGATGTTCTTCGTTTCACCATTTTCTCAAAGGCCATGTGAGTTTTCAACAGCGATACTAACCTTGATAAACTTGGTTAAGGCATATGTTGCCAGGTTTAAACTTACTCAGTTTTCATATTCTGTTCTTTGGAAGTTTGTTGCTTAATACTCACAATCAAGGAAAGGTGATTAACTTGTGGCACTGTTGAATTTTCTGATCTTGATAATCTGTGGATACATAAGACAGTGTGATTAAGAAATACACACTAAAGCATTTGTGGACATTGGGGAACATTGTCTGCCATTCACTTTCAAATAGTTCAGGAAAATATAAACACAAAGAACAAATGATAATGCCGATGTGACAGGTAAATAACTGGTGGGTCTGAGTAAAATGCACTTGACAGTTCTTTGTACTATTTTTGCTATGCTTCTATAACTTCTTTTAAACCATTGAAGTGTATCCTATATTATTAGTATTTTCCTCTCTTGTATTCCCCCAATTCAGTCCTAGCTGCCAAAATCAGACAAAGTGAGAGGACACTTTTTCTTGCACTTGTAGTGGAAACCTTAGCTGCAGACTGTAACTGCTCCAGGTCTGTCAAATAGCTGCATTATGATTTTTAAATTATATCTAAATAAAAAGTTGCCAAAGTTACTACAGAGTTAAAAAAATATTAAGAGATTAAACCAAGTGGGAGGTGGTTATATGGCTATTCACTGAGAAATTCTTTCATCTTTGCTTTGTATTTGAAATTTTTCACAGTAATATGTTGAAAAAGAAAAGTTAGCATTTGCAATAATAGCAAAATGATTGAGCAGCTATTGATAGAAACAAGTCTAACAATTGTCTGGGGACAAAATCCTAAAATAAAGATATTAAGGAATACCTAAATAAACAGAACAGTATACTTTATTCTTGACTAGGAAATCAATATAAAGAAGTCATAGCTAATGGAAACTGAAGTCATAGCTAATTGAAACTGAATAAACTAGAGAAAGATAATCCTTGACATGAGTTTTCAGAGAAACAATTCATTCTAAAAGATTCACGAGTAGCCAAGACACACCGACAGAAGCACAATACATTGGAAGAATTACCACGCAGAAATCAAGGTTTATTCTCAGTCTATAGTAATTAGTGTTCTATCTGTGCAAGCATCTTCTGAGTGACCAGTGGGATAGAATAGAAAACCCAGACATCTGTTTCTGGGCTCTCACTATTGCTCACTTTGACAATCTCTGGTTATTTTGAATAGCCCTACACCAGTACACACTAGTAATATTGTTATGGTTCATAAAGTGGGTGGTAGGTTCACAGGTATTTATTATTCCATAAATTATGTATATATAAATCCTTTCATATGCTGCCAGTTTTTTTTTTTTTAATTAAATGGCAGAAATGTGGCTGACTTCTAAGAAATATCTGTCTCGGAATGTGAATGCCATTAGCTCCTATTGTGGTTCTATTTCCTTATTCCTGTTCACTCTGCATGGTGACTCTGTGCTCTCAGAATGTTTGTCCTCATAAGGTTAGAATTGTGGCTACGGGCTATTTGGACTTACAGCTGAGCACTCATCAGCTTCAGTTTAACAAATGCTGACATGTTCCAAACGAGCAGACTTACTCATACAGGCTCACCCCTACACCCAGCAGTGTCACCAGGAGAAAGGGGTTCTGTGGGAGGAAAAGCTGAATTACTTGCCGCTTAGAATCAAGGGAATACTGTCTCTTACTAGAAAAGTTGGGAAAGGATGCAGGACACACAGAATACTCAGCTACCACGTGAGACAAGCTGATGTGATCAGATGCTGCTGGTTTAATAGCTTTTCTGTAGATTAATTTTCACAATACTGTCTTTTAATGGTTCCTGAAGTGCTGTCTTGTGTTTTCATATAGTAAACCAGTTTATATTCAGAAATTAGCAGAGAAGTTAGTGTTATACACTAAGTCTGTTTTATTTTCATGTTCACTATCTTTGAGGACTTAACATTGCTAGAAAATTTAGTGAAAATTATTCACAACTTAAAACATAAGATTGAGTTCTTCTACCTGTTCTGCTCCCCACTCTGTCTCTGGTGAATCCTCTCACCACTGCACCTCTGGCCTATATGCCAGCTCTTGTATGCATAAATAAATAAATAATAATAAATAAAAAAACACATAAAATTACCTCAAGGCTTACCTTTTTATTTAATCTTTGAGAGTTTTGATGTAGGTTTACTTTGTAAAAACTATAGATCCTTTTGTGAGACTGTCAAGAAATACAAAAGCAAATATAGCATAAATATGGCCCTTTGGTTAGGACACAACACTGCAAGCTGGCTGCAGCTGCTTCAGTGTAAGTTCGATCTCCAGAGGTGACCCACATGGCGCGGCAGACCTCTCCTGACCCGCCCGCTGCTCCCCTCAGCAGTGGACTTCTCGATCTGCCGGTTCTGCTCCCCACTTTGTTTCTGGTGAATCCTCTCACCACCCCTGCAGCACTGGCCTGTACCCCAGTTCTGTATGCATAAATAAAAGTCTTTTTTAAAAAGTTTTAAAAAATCAATATTTTATAGTTTCTACTTGTTTAAAAAAAAATAACATAACCAGAAACTTCAACTCTCTAGAGATAACTATCAATAAAATTTTGGTGAACATACTTCTATAGTGTTATGTAATTTTTGAATTAGTCATTTTGAAAAGAAAACCAATTAAACATGAATATTTGGGTTTTTTTTATTGAGGTGATGTTGGCTTGCAACACTGTAAAAAATGAGCATTATAAATCACCGTCAAAATTCCTGCTCTCCAAAATAATCTATTCCTATTTTTTTTTTGTTAATAGGTAATGTTACAAATACGTTACAGGTAGCAGAAGTGCATTATATTTCTCGAAACATTTGTAATTCTGAGAAGAGTTATGGGGGAATAATTCCTCACACTTCATTCTGTGCAGGTGATGAAGAAGGATCTTTTGACACTTGTAGGGTAAGACCAAATAATTTTCCTTAGAAATATTTTCTAATTTGACCATTTTCTGGTGAAGTCTTGATTATCAAGGCTAAAAGTACTAAAATTCTTTTTTTCTTATTTATTCCAACAAGCCACATCCTCTAGAATTCCTCATTCCTTCGCCTTTTTTAACCCCAATCTCTTTTTTTTTTCATTTTTAAAATATATTCATTATCTCATCGTTCACTTTTGTACAGTGTGTTGTCTCCCCGTGACATCCCCACCACCATCCCCCACACACCATCACCACAGTCGCTGGTGCTCTTCCCAGACCTGTCTGCTCCATCTCCCTCCTCACCCCACACAATGTCTCTGACCTAAAGTTGCCTCATTCCAGTTCCCATCATCATGCTCAGCCTTCAGCAAAAAATGCCTTGAGCACTTTTTCCCCTTTCTAATAATACTACCTGTATTGAGCTACAATTTCCATACATACAGTTCACTCACTTGAAAGTGTACGATTCAATGGTTTGTTGTTTTTTTTTCCCAGTATATTTACAAAACGTACAGTCCAATTCTAATAGAGTTTGTCGTCCTTAAAAATGACCTACCTGGCCCTCCCTGGTGGCGCAGCGGGTTAAAGCACTGCCCTGAGAAGCTAAAGCCACTTATGCATGAGTTCAATTCCCGCCTGCCCCAGAGGTGACCACATGGCGCGGCAGACCTCTCCTGACCTGCCCGCTGCTCCCCTCAGCAGTGTACTTCGTCGCTCTGCCTGTTCTGCTCCCCACTGTCTCTGGTGAATCCTCTCACCCTCCGCATCTCTGGCCTGTACCCCAGTTCTATATGAATAAATAAATCTTTAAAAAAAAAAAAAAATGACCTACCTGCATGAGGAGTCGCTGCCGTTTGCCTTGAAATTTCTTATGAATGGAGCCACTCAATACACTCTTTTGTGACTGAAAATCTTTCACTTAACATACTTCTTTCAAGGTTCATTCCTATTGTAACATTCAATGCCACAAATGAGTAAAATATTAATACACATTGTAAAATTGTTATTTATCTTTTTATTAATAACTCAGTGTTATTTATATAATCTGATACAAGCCCCTTCCTAGTTAGCAAATATCTTAATATTTGCTATTCTTTTTAATATTTTATTGTTGACTCTTCTGCCATTGACTCTTTTTAGCCTCCTGATGTTATATAATTTGTAACACAAGAGGTTTTGATTTTTTATGAAATCCAGTTTATTTATATTTTATTTTTCTCATGCTTTCTGTATCTTTTTTTCATTTCTATTTTCTTTGTTATTTCTGAATTCATCAATGCTTCACTTCCAAGCATTGTCTCATATAGTGATCTTTGCCTGCTCATTCTGATGTCTGAAATTCAGTTTATTTTTCTGTTTCCTTTTCCAGAATCATCTTGCTCAGTAAAACAGCAAAGAATCCAATTCAAATTGCATTCATAGTACATTCTCATCATCAAAAAATAATTATTCAATGCCTGCTTTATCTAGAGAATTACGAACATACTTTTTAATCTTTAGGCGTAGAAGCAGTGTACTGGTTGTTTCGAGTGATTAACAGCCCTAAAAAATAGTGTTGCTACATTAACAGTCTTGTAGAAACCATTACAGAGATATGTTATTTATAATACTATTGAGAGGCATGGCTGTGTATTCCTGTTATTTCCCCATTAGCCAATGTTATTATTTAGATTCTGTATCTTGCAAGATGTCCAGTAACTTATTTCTTCTAGCTAAAAAGCCGTACACACGTACACATCCCAAAATAATTCATCCTGAATCTTTTATTCAATCAAATATTAATAATCCACTCTAATTTTGGAGTACAGCTTCATATCCTGAAGTGTACATCCTTCACTTACCATTGCGAGGGCTCCAGAGCCACCACTTCCAGAATCTTAAGAGTTATTTTTGATGTGTTTTGCCAGCGTGCTTTATCTGGTTATTTTTATTCCATAAATAAGTGAGACCCCCTGGTAACTGTCTTTCATTTTCTGACTTATTTCACTTAGTTCCATCCATATTGTTGCAAAAGGCATGTTTTCATCTTTTTCACAGCTGTGTAGTGTTTCACTCCTTAATACATCTTTGCACATAGCATTAGGCAATAGAACTTTCCTAAAAGACAAATTTACAATATTTTGCACATTTTCCTAAATGACATTTATCCTGAGTAATTGTAATTAAATATAAAAAATGATTTATGGCATTCTGTTCCAAAATTATGCAAATAGAGGTTTATCCTCAAGTTGTACGATCCTCTGCCATGCCAGGCTATTTGAGTTGGAATATAAAATTTAAAATCGTTGGATCTTTGAAAGTATATTGAAATGTCTAATGTGATTAATTTATTCCAACTTTACTGCTGCTTAAACACTACTAAAAGTAACTAACACTATTATGGGACTTTTTTGATAGGGTGATAGTGGTGGACCATTAATGTGCTACTTACCAGAACATAACCGATTTTTTGTGATGGGAATAACCAGTTACGGACACGGCTGTGGTCGAAAAAATTTCCCTGGCGTGTATAGCGGGCCATCCTTCCACCAGAAGTGGCTGACAGATCACCTCAAGCTGGAGAGCAATGGCATAGCTGACATACATGTGCTGCTTGGACAGGTCCTCGTGTTCTTAGGTTCTGTTGTCTTACTAACTCCATAAATGTTCAAAAATATTTTTGTGGTGCCCCCCCCCATGTTCTCTATAATGAAAATCATTTATCCTTTTGGCAAGTAATTGTCCACTTTAGAGTTTTCATGTGAATAATTTTGGAATAAAAGGAATGTGACATGTTGTATATACAGTTATAAATTTGGCACTTAATCGATGCTTCTGGATATGTATGTTGCATTTAAAACACTTTCCTAGAGTTTGTATAAAATATTCGGTTAAGTACATACTCTGTATATAAATATCCAATGATAAAGTTTATAACTGATTTGAAAGCGGTTCTGTTAAATTAATAAAACTCCTTCCCTTTAAGTTTAATCTTATTTGAACTATTTGTATTCTTTTGAATGTCATGCTGTTTCTGCTTCTCAAAACCTGTTTTGTTACCAAACACTGAGGCCTGATTGCTTGGTCTGTGTCAAAAGACCAGACCAAGTAGGAGAGAGTTTTACTACATCAAGCAAGGAGTCAAAACTCCCAGCACTGTTGGGCTGTCAGGATGTTTATAGAACTATTGGTGTTTAGATAGGGCAGCAACAGAGTAGAATGTCTGGAATCTTGGCTGCCCAGGCATAGTGTAGTCATTACCAGGTTATGGATCACATGTTTAGAAAATAGTTTTGACTAGCCATTAGATTTTTTTGGTTTTTTTAAAAAGATTTATTCACTTACGCATACAGGTAAATGCAGGGGTGCAGGGTGGTGAGAGGATTTGCCTGAAATGAAGTGGGGAGTAAATCCCTGGCCGGGGTCGAACTCTAGCCAAAGCAGCTGCTGATAGCTTTGCAGCACTGTGCTTTAACCTGTTGCGAAACCAAGGAGGGTCTCATTAGATTTTTTTAGAGTAGTTTCATGAGATGTAAAACCTCCCAGTGGCGTGCGTGGCCAGACATACTGTCATTCCCCCCTTAAGCCAGGATAAGTCCAACTGCTCTTTTGGTTTTGAGCCCTGGAGAATGAGTCCCAGACTTACCAGGATGATGACTCCACTGTGCTCAATGAATTCCCCAGTAACATTCACATTGTCCAACTTGGTGTGCATGGGCCTCAGTTCTATATAAGATTTGGGTAGAAGGCATTTGGGTACCTGTTATGGGGACCACCACAAATGCATATATATACTTTGGGGGCACAGACAGAAATGGGGCACTCACATTTCTTAGGCAATAGTACACACAGGGGGAAGAGTGACCCATTGGTGGCCTCAGCGTCCCAGCATGATCTGACTCTAGAACCCAGCAGAAGAGCAGTCACTCTTCCAAAGAGAGCTGGAGACAGGTCCAGTTATTTTACTGAGTACCTATGCTTCATAGCTCCTAAAAGGGTGGGCCATAAAAGGAAAAGACAACTAAATTGGATTTTTATCAAAATAGGGAGTTAAAGAGGTGGTGGTGCAAGTCATATTCAATCTCTCTTATTTGCTGAGGAAAAGCACATTTCTTGGCAGGTGAGACATTTGCCAGTTTTTTGGTTTTGATTTTTTTTTTTTTTACATTTGCCAGTTTTAAAGTGAACATTTCCCGTCCCATCAAGGTAAGTCATGGACTTATCCAAATGTTGAAACAAAGGGTAATTGCACAGACCCTTTGTCTGTGCAAGGAGGGCACACCCACACGAGGCCTGAGGTCAAGGTCTGCTCGAGGTTAAGTCCCACCTGCAAGGCAGAAGTCAGAGATACTCAGAACATTTCATGCCAGATATACCCAGACATTTTCTCCATGTCTCCCCAGAGGGACAGGGGCAAGTTACTAATACAGGCACAGACATGATTGTCTTTTGAAAGGCAGTGTTAAGTCTCCATGCTCTTGGAGGCCCCTGGGTCCTGAGGTGACTTGGCTTTGGGGCTGTGTTGCCAAGGCTTGATGCCAGAAACTTCACTGCTGTTGGTGTCACCAGGAATATTTTCCAATGATTGTCTACTGTTTAGGTAGTTGATCTTATGTTAGTCCTGTTTTCCAAGTTTTTTGCAGAACTGATCACCAGGTTAGTTATGCAAAGGGATATGTGTGGGATGCTGTTACTTTTCAGGAGCAAACTTATGCAATGTATTTTTTTAAAAATTTATTTATTTATTTATTTATACAGAACCGGGGTACAGGCCAGAGATGTGGAGGGTGAGAGGATTCACCAGAGACAGAGTGGGGAACAGAACAGGCAGATCGAGAAAGTCCACTGCTGAGGGGAGCAGCGGGTGGTTCAGGAGAGGTCTGCCACTCCATGTGGATCTCCGGGCAGGCGGGGATCCAACTCAGAGGAAGTGGCCTTAAGCTTCTTAGTGCTGTGCTTTAACCCGCTGCGCCACCAGGGAGGGGTCCTATGCAATGTATTTAAATGGTAAAATGTTGGGCTCCAGTCCAAAGTGCAGGTGAAAACAAATAAGAATACTGAAAAGGGGGCTCTCCCTGGTGGTGCAATAGGTTAAAGCGCAGCCTTGTGAAGCTGCCCAAAGCCACTGCAGCATGAGTTCAATCCCTGCCCACTGCTCCCCTCAGCTGTGTATTTCAGTCAAGCTGCTTGTTCTGTTCCCCACACTGTCTCTGGTGAACCCTCTCACGGCCCCCCAATCACGCCCCCTGCAACTCTGGCCTACACCCCAGTTCTTTCTTGTATGCATAAATAAGTAATTTTTTTTTTTAAGAATACTGAAAAGACCCAGAAACTGATACAAAAATTTTACTGAAACATGATTTCTCAGTATCCTCACTCAGCTCTACGGAAGAATTATTGGGGTGAAGGCCATGCCACCACCCCACCTCTAACTAGAGAGAGCTCTGTGACAGACCCAAGCAGACCAAAACAACACAGTACTTTAAACCAGAGGCCAAACTGGCTATCACCAGGGAGCCAGAACAGAAAAGCCACAGAGCAGAAAGTACAGTGATGCAGTCTGATTAGGTGAGAGTGACAGGAAGTACAGAAACCAGGTAGGAATGAATCTCCAGGTGAAATCACCTGGCCGTGCTTTTAGGAGTTGTCTGGCACCCAGTTCTCCCCACCCCCAGCCCAGGCGACCAGTGGGGCTCCCCACAACTCAAAATGACTTACCGAGTCCTGGAGACTTCCCGTGTGAGTCACCAGCAATGTGACCACAGCTCAGGCCACCTGTCAGCGCCAAATGGCAAGAGACAGGAGTTGAATCTTTAAGGTAAGCTTCAATCAGACAGCTGGCAATCTGGAAGACGGGGGTTACACCTTACTTAAAGAAATTTCCAGTTGCTTTTTAGAAGCCAACAACAGTTTCGCTGAGCAGAAACAGTTGCTCAGCAGTAAGAGGACTTCGCAGCAGCCAGAGCTGTGCCCTCCAGCTCCAGCGCTCCCTATCACCCTGCTGGACACCTAGTGCCTTTGTTTGAAACTTTCTGTTTCCCCTAAGCAGCTCCTGCCGGGTGAAAAGCAGAGGGACGCCTTAAGCTATTTTCTGAAACCTTTAGCTTCCCAAATGTGAATTCTGGGGGCTAATTTTTTTGACCTTATTTTTAAATTTTATTTATTTATTATAACAGTTTTTTTACACCATTTTGTACATTTTTTTCCACCTCAATTGTAATCCCCACGGGTTTCCCATCACCAAGTCACCCGTGTGCCATCACCATAATCCCGTGCACTTCCCTCTCCACCCCCCCACCCCCCACCCCGTTTTTGATCCCATTCCCCACTCCACCTGGGGGCTATTTTTAACTACACTAGCTGAGAAATGCAGTAGTTGGGTACAATTTGAAGTTGAAACTTTTCCTTTAAAAGATGGGGGGCCCCCAAACCCTGACCTATGAAAAATCCTGTTGTTACCAGGTCTGAGCACTTCAGCCGGGAATGCAAAAGAGAGATTTCTTAACCGCGTGTGGCCAGGGGGCACCCTACCCTGTCACTTCTTTCTTAAAAAGCGGGCGGGGCGTTTGTGCGTAAGCGTGTGTGCTGGGGACTGATAGCGAGGTGTCGGGGGTGTGGGGAGACTTAGGAGTAGGCGGGGTGGTGGTGACGTTGCCAATAAAGGACCGGGCCAGCCCTCCTGGCCTGCTCGGGCTCCACCCACGAATTGTTTTCCTGGCAGAGGCCAATGGAAGCCCGAAGGGTGGGAGTGCTGTTGCCTATAAAAACTCCAGCAGGAAACTAGCGGCCAGCGAGCCACGGCCTCTGCAAACCCCGAGGAGGAGAACCAGGACGAGAGCTGGCATCAGGTAACCAACTTTCCTTCTGAGGAGAAGCTGGGATCCCTCTCTTTTGGCTTCATGGAAGCTAAGCAGTGAGTCAGCTCTTGCTGTGTATTAATTGAGCAAAGTGGATGCTTCAAGTCCACTTGCCTTGAGCTGAGCCTTCTCAGCACCGTTCTTTCCTCGGCCAAATGACAAGGGTTGAGTCTAACTGCTGACCTGTTTTGTTTTTTTCCCTCTTCTGAGTAATGGCACTTACTATCTTTGTCCTCCGACTGGTCGTCGGCGCCCTGGCATTTCCCATGTACCTGCTGCACTTTCTGGGCGTGTGGAGTTCGATATGTAAGAAATTGTTTCCCTACTTCATGCGGAAGTTCACCGTGATGTATAACGAGCAGATGATGGGCAAGAAGCGGGAGCTCTTCAGCAACCTGCAGGAGTTTGCGGGCGCCTCCGGGAAGCTCTCCCTGCTGGAGTTAGGCTGCGGCACCGGGGCCAACTTCAAGTTCTTCCCGCCGGGGTGCAAGGTGACTTGTATTGACCCCAACCCCAACTTCGAGAAGTTCTTGATCGATAGTGTTGCCAAGAACCGGCACCTGCAGTTCGAGCGCTTCGAGGTGGCCGCGGGGGAGAACATGCACCAGGTGGCTGACGGCTCCGTGGACGTGGTGGTCTGCACCCTTGTCCTGTGCTCCGTGCAGAACCAGGAGCAGATTCTCCGGGAGGTGTACAGGGTGCTGCGGCCGGTGAGTGGGGGCGAGAAGGGCTGGCTGGGAGCGACCTGAGCCTGGAAGGCTGCCCTGTCAGTCTCAGGGGGGTCGAGCATGATAACCTAAAACTACAGAGAAGACACTTGGTTTTTGGTTTTGGTTTTTTTTTTTAAGTCTTAGAGTGGGGAAGGAAAGATTGATACAACTGAATCCATAAAATGTTAAAGCTTCTGGGAAGAATAAAGTACTATCAATGAACAAGGTATGGCATGAAAACAAACTTGGAAAAAGTATTCTCTGGGGGTTATAGGCAAAGGGCTTTAACTTCGTTTATAATCAAAGAATCAAGTCAGTCAGATCAACGGGACTTTTTAGATCAACGAGACAATAGAGAAAAATAGGCAAAGAACTGGGACAGAAATATAAGAAATATAAAACCTGCCAGTTATCTGATTAAAAGGTTCAACATTACCCTCAATTAAAGCAAATGACTGTTTTTCCCTAGAAGTGTCAGAAATTTTTAAGCTCAGTATGTTTTTGGAGTGGGGTGGCAGATGCAGTGGGGATTCCCCAAACTCCTTATTCTTGAGATGTTGCTTGGTGCCCAAAGATGCTGCTGGCTCAGCTAATCCTAGAGTCAGGCAGGGGCCTCTCTCACCAGGACAAAGTCTTGGTATGAGGCCATCTGCTGAAAATAGCAACAGACATTATGGCCAGATTAGCATAACCAGCCTGCCAGGATGTTAAGCCTAAACAGGGATTAGGGATCCCCAATCCACACACCCACCACCTCCATTCCTCCAGACTTGTTCTCCACAGACTTGCTCACCTTTCAGAACCTTATACTAACAAATGTGACTGGTGGGGAAATTGTTCCTGCACCTGCAGAGATACAGCCCCTCCGGGCCTCCCTGTCTCTCACAACTTGAACTTTGAGTTATTTTTCCTCTGTCCTGTGCTGCTCCCAAGGTTGCCGCCACTTGAGGATACAGTGGGGCACCCTGTGCACTTTGGATGTGGCTCCCTCCTTGGAGGGCGGTGTGAGAGTATTAAAATTTAAAGTATACACACGCTTGAGCCAGTAGGATTTGTCCTGTAGCTATACTGTTTTAACATGCAAGTCTCCATCCACATGCAGAGATATTAATTACAGTATAAATAGCTCAAGCTGGAAAAAAAACAAAAGATTATCAATAGGAGGCTATTCAAGTAGATTGTCACAAAGCGTAAAGGAGTTCTGTGCTGGTGGCAAAAATAACAAGAATTATCTATGCTATTATGAAAAACAAATCTCCAAGACACAATGTTAACATGAAGAAAAGGAATTAAGGAGTAGAATATTGTGTTGAGAATAAGCCCATTTAGCGGGGTTTATTCTACTATAGATTCCATATACGCCATTATGTGTTATATGATAGACACTTGTGTGTTAATAATATAGCTGTACAAACGATATGCTGTAGCATGTAGACAAGCTGTTGACGGTGGCTGCCTCTTAGAAGTGGGATGGATGGGGGGAGAAATTAGTTTTCATTTTATACCTTCTTGTATGGTTTGAAAAGCTTTATACTAGTATGTAATTGTCACATATTGTCTTTGGTTTTCAAAAACTAGTTTAAAGTGACTTTATTCTAAACATGGTAGAACATAAATACTGAATATCTTGACCTTTGAATTTACTACTCGAGGCAAAAAGGATGTTATGTAATGCCCAGTTTTATTTTTCTAGTAGAGGAAGTTCCTCAGGAAGAAAAGTATTTGGTGATAGAGCAGTAATATAATTCTGTCTCTGGTTCAAAGACAGGTCAGCATCAAAGAAGTCAAGGTTTAAGGCCTGTTTTATACTGAGCCCGTCCTTACAGCCAAAGAACACTACAGTGCTGGCTAATCTCACCAAACCCTGCAGGGCAAGCGATGATTAATCTGCTTTCCCATTCCTGATAATACTCATAGGGGATCAGATTCTTGTAGTCTTCCTTAGCTCCTGCAAAGCACCCACTTTCTGCTGAGGAACTTTATCACACATTCTAGCCCTCACAAGTCCTTTCTGGCAAGTATTTTCATTTTGGTTTGCGGAAAGAGACTGACAGAGGTTAAGAAACTTACCCAATTAAAGGTTACCAGAAAAGAAGGGGGACCCTGGAAGGGCTACCTGGTAAAAGAGGAAAGTTGTACAGTGGGTAGAACTGGATTTTCAGGTGAATTTAATAGAGCAGACACGTGTGTTGATTTTTAATGGTGCACACCTGCAACGAATAGTGAAAGAATGCAATGTTACTTCAGTTGAAGGGGGAAAAGAAACTCCCTGAAGCTGCAAGATTGTCTGTAGCACAGATATTCTTACCTTTACACCACAGTGCTCTCTGCATCAACATATTGACCTATTTTGCTGACCGGTCAGCCACTAAACACTGAAGTTTCTTTTTTGGCTCACATTGGGCAATCTCATGAGTCTGCAAGTTTTCAGTTACCACAAATACACAGATGGCTTCCAAACCTAGCTCCCTAGCTCAGCTCCCTCTTCTGACCCCAAATTTGCATATCCAGGCCCTTTCTGAACCCCTGGGTGACAGGCACTCTGGCTACACTCTACCCACAAGGCAGCCTCGCCTGTCTCTTGTCCTATCCTATGGAACTTTTTGGTTTTTTAAATCAAGAAATGGAAATTTTTCCAATTCTGAGAACTTAGAACAGAATCCACGGGAACTACTTTCTAAACAGGCTGTCTGGGATAACTAAGACTAGGGTGCTTGGAAGTGGCCAACCATCCCCCCTCCCATGGTGAGTGCTGGGCCCCACTTCCCCAAAGTCCTCAGAGGAGAAAACGTCTGAAGACCTACCATTGTGTAGTCTCTGTTGTGTCTATAATCTTGACCTTCTGTATAGGATTGTCCCACAATGGTAGGCAGGTGGAAGGTGTAACTGAGTCTTAGACAGTGTGTCCAGGGACTCACACTCACCTGCTGAAGGGCCCTAAGGTTCTGACAGGTTTACAAAGCAGAACCCGAGAACAATTCCCAGATGGACTAAAAGATTGTAAGAAAATAGAAGTATGGGGCCTCCCTGGTGGCACAGGGGTTCAGTCTCAGCATTATGAAACTATCCATAGCCACTGCAGTGAGTCCCCAGCCAGGGAGGTGACCCACTTTGCACAGCAGGCTTGTTCTGTTCCCTGCTCTGTCTCTAGTGAATCTTCTCAACCCCAACACCTCTGGCCTGCACCTCAGTTCCTGTGAGCATAAATAAATAAGTCTTAAAAAATAAAGACCCTTGAGCCCTCCCTGGTGGCACACCGGGTTAAAGCACAGCACTAAGAAGCTAAAGCCACTTCAGCATGAGTTGGATCCCGGCCCCGGAGGTGACCCACATGGCACAGCAGA